TCGTTTGTATGCACCTGTCGCTTTGTTAGCACGCGTCATGGTGAGAATATCCTTAAGAAGCTTGTACAGGCATGTACCCACCTCACAACCCCCAAGAGTACAAATCAGAATGCACTATCCGCTATCCATGCAGATCAAAAGATGATACTTACTACACACATGGATGACAGAACCCAGTAAGATGTTTGAACGGGCTGTTTGCTTCACTCATGGTAGTCCGCGTTCCATGTTCGAGCGACAGGGAGCAGGCACAAGCGTTGCGACGGAGTCTTCGGTCGCTGACACATGTTCGCATGCAACCCCTAGATGTCAATCATGCACACCGCTGCTGGCTGCATCGTCAGCATTTATTCGTGGAAAAAGACAGATATATCAGATATATCTGTCTTTCCACGTCGTCCTTTCAGGCAGCACCTATTGTTCGAGACCAAATGTTGGGGCACGAAAGACTCTAAGGAAAGCTCACTCTTTCCCTGCTGCTGCTGCTGCTTGGTAGCTGGTGGTGGTGCTGCTGCTGCTGCGGTTGCTGGGGTGGTTGTATGTTGCCATGTGTTGGCTGCTGCTGCTGCGGTTGCTGGGGTGGTTGTGTGTTGCCATGTGTTGGCTGTGTTGGGGTCGTATGTTGCGATTCCCGGCCAGGCTTTTGCTGCCTAAAGAGCCCCAGCGTTGTTTCTTTGCCTAGTTTTCGCCACCCCTCTCTGGGCGACAAGTGAGGGGAGGTTTGCTGCAACGGCTTACTCTTCAAAGGATGTACACCAGAGTGAGCGAAAGTCTCCTTGAAGAGAAACTGACCACAGTGGCAAAAGCAGAAAGGGGGTTGTTGGCTAACCGATGTTCAGGCGATGTCATCCTATGTCATGTGACTTTCTACGTGTGAGTTTGGAATATGCCTGCAGAATATGTAGAAGCTGAATCATTCACCCGTATACTCCAAGCCCCAACCTCAGCAAACAGGAGAGCAGTTTAATAAAAGGAGCTCAGAAGTTGCGTGGTATGGCCAGCGAAAGAATGGAGTTCTAAGGAGTTCTATATTGGTAATTTTATAGATATTATATATATATATATATAGAGAGATGATATACTGTAGATGGTACCAGGGTGCAAGCATCCAGTAGCTCAGTGATTCCCTTCATTCTTTTGGTGTAATCCTGTACTTGCTCGTATCCGGCCTAACCAAGAGGACCGAAGCTGAGCCTGCCCCCCAGTACAAGGACAAATATAGATTATATAGATGAACACCCAGGGGCTTGTAGCGGGGCATTGTAGGTGGGACAGTGTCGGACAGATTGCAACAGAACCTCCGAAGCGAATCAGGAGCTCTGGCACCATGGTTTCAGCCTTCGTGCCCCGGCGGCATCAAGAGGGTAAGTGAGTGCTGCCTGGCATTGAATGTGCAAGATGAGTTTTGCAGCTGGTACAGCTGGCGAATGGACAGTTATGGCTTATTGGGCCTATCACTGCCTATCACCATTCAACAAATTGTCGAGTGGCTGGAGGCTGATGAAGCCTGTTCAAGTGCTACCTTTTCAACGCCTAGTGCAGGGAGTTTAGTCTTCCAATATCTTCCAGTCTGCACCAGTTTCCTGTCAACCTTTTCACAGTGGGCCAGTGGGCCACCTGGAGAGCGTAGGACCCTGCCCTATCAATGGGCAAACCTAGACTGTTGATTAATAAGATTGCCCCATTGGATTGTAAAATGGCGCGTTCTTAATCAAGGGTCTACATAATGATTGTCTAGCGTCCCCAATTCCCAAGAGGCTTTTATTAGATCCTGGTTTGCTGACCGCGCCAGTGCAAGCCCAAATGCCTGGTTTCTTCATTCATTAACGGGGATCGCGTAGAACTCACATTGCTTTCCATTTAAAGTCTATATTCGTCTCAAAATATGCGGGAGCTTCATCGTGCTGCAAGGTGTAGGTAACTTGTGTGATCACAGACACATTCCCTTCACTTGCACAACTTCAGCCCAAGGGTTGTTTTCATAAAGATGGTTGTAATTGTTTGTACACTTGCCCAATGAAAAAGATTCACATGGACATTGAGACTGGACTAATGCGCACTTAGGATTAATGAACAACCCCATAGTCCCCCGCATATTAATTAGGCCCAGCTCGAGCCCCCAATACTAAACTTAACCTGAAATTCCACCTTGGCATCCCCCTAATAATTTTTGTCCTGTCCAGAACCCCCCCCCATATTAATCAAGCCCAGCTGCCCCAGAAAAAGAATAATATAACATATAGTTTACTATTGTTATAATTGTTTATTATATATGTTCTTTTTAGCTAGTATTACCTTCTGGTCCTTGGTGAAACTGATCTTCTGATTCACCCTTGTCTCATGCCATCTCTTTGAGAGAGAGCATTCTGATCCATCCTTTTCCCATGCTGATCCTCTCATCCATGAATCATTCTGATCATTTTGCTTGCTCTTCTCATCCTTCCCAGCAGCAATCTGTGCAGCCAATGTATACTCATATGGGATCTTCCTCCATCATCAGGTCATCACCTTTATTAGGGGGGATGTGGTCCTCCAATACCTCCAATCTCAGACCTTGTTGACCGTGAAGGGGTTGATTAATCCGACGCCGACATTAGTGGAAAAGTCGATTGTTTCTCCTTCATGGAGCTTGTGTATATGATTCTATAATATTCTATAATATATGTGTGTGATTGTGTATTGATGTGTTGATATGTCCTGAGGTCGAGGTGATTCCACCACCCGGTTGGCTGGATGACTGGAGCTGCAAAGATATTTGGTTCATGATCACCGTGGTCAACAGTAAGAAAAAGGACACCAGAAAAACCAACAGGTGTGTCTCCGGATACGCACCGGAGGTGATTTCCAGATCGAACACGGCCGGCCCACGTGGCGAATTGTTTCGACAGCCACAGAGGCCACAGAGGCACGTCGCTGGAAAGTCGAACTAGCGGTTTCAAGGTTCTTCCGGTGGTTCTTCCGCTTCTTCCAGGAGAAAGAAGTTCAGAAGACGGAAACACACACCTTCACGCCTCGACACAACGATCGTGGATGGCATGAGCTCGTGCACGTGGACGAATTGTTTGCGGAATGCGGGTTCTTAGATGCAGCTTGGGCAGCTTAACCTTGCACACTCGGTTCGTCATTCCATTTGGCAGACTTGGTTAGATGTTTCTATAGACATACATGCAAGTAGACATACATATAATATACTTAGTGTTATTTTAAACATGGATCAACCATGTTGGGTGATTGATTTTTCACAAGACATACTTGGTGGCATACTTTGCTGTGAACAGCGCTTAGGAAGGAGATGATCTCCATTTTCGTGCAGAAGTCCGGGGTTTGCCTTGGAATGCTGGCCGAGCTGGATTTAATCAGATGGATTTCTCCCAAGACTCTCGGCCAGCATGGCCTCAACAGAAGACGAACTTGGTTCAAAACGGCCGGTAGAGGTTCTATTATCGAATTTGATTCTTGATATTTTTGGGGTTCTGGAGTTGATAGTACTCGCCAGCAGATTAGATTAGGGTTCATTTTTTTGGCATCATCGAGCCGTGTCGAGCCGTTTTGTCAGCAAGGAGCTGAAAGCATTGACCTTTCGACTATCAGAAGACCCTCCGTTGTTTTTTGACCAACGACTTCTCATTCAGCGCTCAGAGTTCTTTCAGAAGATGCTAACGTCCTCCACGTGGCAGGAAGCCAAATCAGGAGCCTCCGCTGCATTTCAGTATGTTCAGCCATCCTCGCATTCGCAGGTCTTTCGCAGCAAAGGCCTGCAGCTTGAACAATTGACCTTCGCTTATTCCCAGGCCTGTCCTCCCTATCCACCAGCTCCGTACCACTTCCGCTCACTGCTTTTGCCGAGCCCAGGAGAGATCGACCTCCGAGGAGACCGAGATGCCACACATGCCAGCGTCACGGCCGTGTTGCAGTTCCTCCTCACGGATCACTTCGATGCAGCAGGGGACGCTGGGCGATCTCACAACTGCTTCGTTCGATGATGTTCGATGTTTTTGGGGGGTTCATGGAGGCCATATGGGGCCATCATAGTGGAGCCATCACAGTGTTTTCAAGCTCAAAGGGCAACTCGAGGAATCTTGAGGGTTGCAAAGTGCATCATCTCGCTCGAGCCGGTCGCTGAGGATTTGCAGTTGGCCTTGTCTGTGCGTTCCCTGGCGGACCGCTTTTGCATCGCGGAGCTGGGTCAAAGTGCAGATATGGCCCTGAAGTACATGCTCACCGAGGAGGGGCCCCCCGGCCTGTTGTTTGCAATAGCCTGTTGTCCTGTTGTCTTTTGCACCCTCCGGCCTGAGGATTTGTGGTTGGCAAATCACTAGTTGTGTGTCAATGGAGAACTGCAAGCTATACTGCGGTTCCTCAAGAAAGAAAATCCAGTGGAAACTACAGCACAAAGGAGAGGAATAATATTAAGCAAGATGTGATAGAGTAAACTATACACCAGTCACAAGTGCAACCACGCAGGGGATTAAGGCCAACTCTAGCTCAAGAAGTCCAACATCCGCAGACTTTTTGAAGTCGGTGCCCTCCTCCAGGAGAATGTCCTCACTTTGCTCAGTCAACTCTTAGATTCCGGCAGCGAAGCACCTTGGAAGCACCTTCCGAGTGCCCGAATGGAATGTCAAACTGCACACCATCCATGAAGGGATACCTATCAAAAAGAAAATTAATTCCTATCAAAAAGAAAATTCCTATCAAACAAAACATTAATTCGTATCAAAATTAAAATTCACCCTACTCCTTTGGTCCTGGTCTGCTGGTTCCCTGGTCGCTTGGTCCTTTGGTCCCTTTGTCCTGGTCCCTTGGTCCCCGGGTCCCTTGGTCCCTCTGGTCCCTTGGTCCTCTGGTCCCTTGGTCCCTCTGGTCCCTTGGTCCTTTGGTCCCTTGGTCCTCTGGTCCCTTGGTCCTCTGCTCCTTTGGTCCTTCGTCCTGGTCTTCGGGTCCTTGGGTCTGCACTTTCGAGGCAAGACGCGTTAAAGGTGATTTGGAAATCTGGTCATACATCCTCTGAAGCACCGTTGCAGACCTTTTATCGCCAGACCTAGCACACCTTTTTTGTGAGCCACCCTGACGGTAAAATTTAGACGAAGAAAAAGTGCCATTCCAAGGTAGCAAACCTTTTGTGAGCCACCTGAGGGCAAAATTTTGAAGAGGAAGGAGCCGTTCCAACGTTGCAGACCTTTTGTTAGCCTTAGAGGAAGAAGTTGCCATTCCAACGTAGCAGGCCTTTGTTTTGTGAGCCACCCGGGGATAAACTTTAGGTGCCACGCCAAGGTAGCAGACCTTTTGTGAGCAAAATTTAGAGGAGCAGTAGACCTTTTGTGAGCCATGCGAGGGCAAAATTTACAGGAGCAGACCTGTTGTCAGCATAAACTTTAGAGGAGGAAGGTGCCATTCCTACATAGCAGACCTTTTGTGAGCCATCCACAGGTCTTGTGGTTTTGTGAGCTTGTGAAATTCAGAGAGATCACGGTTGAGATGCAGAGAGGTCACATCTACAAAGATCCAGAGGCCTGAGATCCAGACGGATCTGCAGGTGTAGAGGTCTAGAAACCCACAGACCTAAAGATGGAGGTTTAGAGGTCTTGAGTCTTGAGATTCAGGGAGGTGTTGAAATCTAAGTTCTATACTTGCAGAGGGTGTAGAAAGATGTTCAGATCCCGAGATATCAAGAGCTCTTTTGACAGGTCTTCAGATCCACAGAATTTTACAAACGCCACGCAAACTGCACTACAAGGTTCGCAATCGCTGCGCTTGCCACGAAGTCTGCGCTTATAGACGGAGGTTCACGCAATCTGCACTTCAAGGTTCACGAAGTGCTGCGCCTGCCATGAAATCTGCAGTTCCAGTGCGCAAAGTGCTGCGCCTGCCACGAGCCCTGCAACTGAAGGTGCTCAAAGTGCTGCGTACAAAGTGCCGCTCCTGCCACGAAACCTGCTACATGGAGGTGCTCAAAGTGCTGTGCCTGCCAAGAAATCTGCACTTCCAATGCACAAAGTGCCGCTCCTGCCACGAAACCTGCTACCTGCTACTGGAGGTGTTCAAAGTGCTGCGCCTGCCACGAAATCTGCAGTTCAAGTGCACAAAGTGCCGCTCCTGCCACGAAATCTGCAGCTCCAGTGCACAAAGTGCCACGAAATCTGCCACTGGAGATGCTCAAAGTGCTGCGCCCGCCACGAAATTTGCACATCCAGATTCACATCGCGCAGCGCTGCCAAGGCGGTTTGCAGTGGCAGGCGCAGCTCTTTGTGAGAGATATTTTGTTTTTGATACAAACTAATCTATTTTTGTATAGGATATAGAAATTTTCTTTTTGATATATATTAGTTTTTTTGATAGCCCGGCCATGAACCACAGTTGTTAATCATGGATCTCTCGAGTTGAACCCTGTTGAAGACTACTACGCCCCTGCGCCGCTTACTGTCCGGAGTTGATCATCACCGATCTTTTGAGGCCGAAGAGGCCTGCTGGCAGATGCTGGAAAACAACAAGGGCTTGCTGTTGAGACAAGAATTGGCCCTAGATGAGCTTGTGGTTCAACACCCCAAGCTGGCCAAGCGATTGATCCTGCTGGGGCAGAAATCGCCCCGGTGCGGGAAGTTTCGGTGGTAGAGATGGCCGAAGCGGAGTCTTTTGCGCCAGTGCAGATTTGGTTTATATAGACTCCCATGTCCGTGGCCTGCTTTGGCATTGCATGACTTGAGAAGAGGATGTGTCCATGCTTTCCGGGTGGCCCTCCCTTTTTGGACCTGACACCATCAGTGAACCAGAAATTCAACTGAAGATTTGTGCATTCATGAGCCCAAACCTGGGCTACAAAAGATTTTGTCAAGACCTGGGACCTGGGGCGTAGTTATGCGCTTTTAGCCTTTGGTGATCGTTTTTTGCGTGCCTTTTCCTGGGGGATGCAGGCCGGTCGACGACTCATGTGTTACTTTCGGCTTCGAGCCGCCGAAAATGTGGGCGCAGGCGGGCCATGGACTTGTGAGGCATCCCTCATCATCCCTCACCAAAGGCCGCTGCAACATGAGGTCTACGGACTTTTCATGACCAACAAAAAATACCAACAGGATCCACATGACAAGGACTCTTCGAAGCCTTCTTGTTTTTCTGGGCGTGTAATGTGCATGTGCTCTTGATCGGACCGCCTAGGTCGATCATGTACAGATGGCCCAACCCCGAAGGCCCGACTTCTCCCTGGCTCAAAGCAGCCCGGCCCGAGAGGGGAGATCAAAAGAGATCAAGATTCTGCTGAACATGTTGTGATCTGGAAGGTGTCAGAAGTTTAGATGTTTTCAGAGGGTTGCCACGAAAGGAAACGCATGTTCGCCTTTGGTGTAAGAGAAGGGTCTAAGACCTGTGGATCCCAGAAAACTTAAAACTCAAGTTGCGTAATTATCAGGGTTTGTCCGTTTATCCTGAGCAGATGTCAATTGATGAAGCTTCGTCCCGAGCTGGCTCCCCTCACAGCACGGCCTGAAGCCACACGGTTCGTCTGCGATGGAGGGCTGCGCCAATGTGATACCAGTGTGGGGGAGAGATGTCAGATAAGGGTGTAACATGGTGCAACCATCAAACACCGTGCAAACGCCTGTATATAGGTGCTACATACACAGCAACCTCCCCATAAAGCTGCACGAAGAGATTTGAAGCGCAAACAAAAGACGGTAGGGAAACAGATCCGCACGCAAATGTGAGTTCCCACATGTTCTGGTGGTGTTCATCCAATGTTCGGTGACCCACGGAGATGATCAGGCGACCCACGGAGAAGAACACTGAGCTGCTGCTGGAGAGACTTTCCACTGGCCAACGGGCTTTGCGGAAGATCCGCTGGTGCCTCGACCGATTGCGATCAGGTCTCCATGCATGCTATTCTGCAGGACAGGCCAGACTGTCCATCCAGAACATGGGAATTTTCCGAGAGGAAGAAGAAGAGGAAGATAATAGAGTTTCTCCTTTGTATAACAATATATCTAAGACATATACCTACATAATATATAATTACACACATATATATATATATACACACATACATAATTACATATGTATATATATATACATAGAGAGGGAGAGAGATGACCCTGCCATACCACACCATGACCTCCAAAACCCTCGCCGAGGCAAATCAGCGGCTCCATGGCCATTCTTGGGCTGGCTTTTGCCGCTGCCAGTAGTGTTTGGACCCTTGGCAGGGAAGGGAACAGTGTTTTGGTGGTTCAACTTCTGCGGCGTTAAGACAAGCGCAGCATCACATCACGGCAAAAGAAATACGGGTGTTTGATGCGCTGTGACACTGCCAGTAGCAGCGGCTTACTTGGTGAGGCACTCAATACACAAGAAGAGGCAACGCAACACCCACTTGACAATTGCATTCTTGTCAAGGCCTTGCCAGTCACACGATGAGCAACCTGGGCTTAGGGTACGAACCACCCTTAAACCTGTATCAAGCAATTATATAAGTATATTAAATTACAGTGAACTAAGTAGCAAGTCGTACCTTAGGTTAAGGCTATTTCCCCCAAACCCACAAGTTTAAGAGTATCCCTGAGAGTCCTCGATCCGTTTGTTTAAATGATGGTTCACGAACCGACATGTTTGTTGATGACCAATGGACTTTTCCACCCTCTTCCTGCCGACCCAGAATGGAGTTGTTGAGCTCAGGATCTATCGAAATCAAGATATCCCATGCATTGCGCCAGCGCATGCAGCATGCACGGAAATCCCAAACAAAAACAGTATGTACAATCTTTTATTTGTCTATATACTTTTTGTACACGCATAGATTCCTGTGGCCTTTGTGCAATGGAGTTTGCCTTGGCCTTGAAACAACACCACATCAAGTTTGCAACCTCAACACCTGACTCAAATTGTTTGAACAAGGCTCACCAGTTGGCAAAAGCACGGAAAAAGCCGGAAAGCACATCAATTAGATGATTTTAGATGGTTCACGGTTATCTTCTTTTGCCCGCATCTTTTTTTTCTGGTCTTGGAGATGTGCTCACCGGGGTTGAAGGCCTGGCCGGTCCGCCGTTACGGGCCCCGGCCCGCGGGCCGGGGTGCGATCAGGATCACCGTGAGGCTTGCGCAAGGTGGTGAAGTCGATCACCTGGATTTGACCATCAGTTGGACCATCTCGGTCACGGGCATCGCCCCTCGGAGACGAGTCACGCCCCATCGGGGCCGACATGGGCAGATGAGTGCCGGTCAGAATGTGAGACGAGCTTCGGGCTGAAAATGAGAGTTGTGAACTGGTGGTCAGTGTGGTCAGTGGTTTTGCCATGGTCAGCTGCAAGTTTCATCCAGCCACATCCAGCCCCTTGGAACGGTCGTCTCGCGCTGCCGATCCCGAACGCACGCACCAAGGTTTTGTTGGTCTCAGCACCTTTGCCAGATGACGTTCCTTGCATCGGTCAAGAACCTTTCGTGGCTTTTGACATCATGTGGCTACCACCTTGCTCACGCAAAGACCAGTTTGTGGGGTCCCATGCTGTGAATGTTGAAATGTTGCTAAGAACAATCAACAGAGTTTGCGGCGAAAGATTGTGGCCAGGGGTGCGCAACATTTGCGAGGGCAACCTTTTGACAGTCAGTGGAAACTGAGGCCATCTTAAAATCCTTCACTGTCCTCCTCGAAACCCCACACTTTCAGTGATTCACAGTAGTGCAACCTTTGAGGAACAAGACATACTTCCACAACAACAGCGCCTGGCACGCTTTAGCTAACATTGTTACTATGCAATGTCCGGCCAATGTGGCCATACTTTAAGGCAGATGTTATACCATGCTTCTACTTCTTCAGCCAATGAAGCCAAAAAAAAAGCACACACATGCACACGTAATACACGCACATGTCAGGCAGTGCGGCAGAGTGCTTTACACTTTGACGTACAGAACCCCATTTCTGCCACCAACATGCGCCCTAGGTTGGAGGCCATCGCTCTTAGGTTGGAGGCCATCGCTCTCGTAGGTTAGGAGTGCCCAGAAGACTGGTTTGGAGCGTTTTCCTCGTTCTCGCGCCCAAGAGGCCACCTTAACACGTCTTGCCAGCTTGGGTGTGGCAACTCTTTGTGGCTTCTTCACCAGCTATGCTTCTTGGCCAGACACGCACAGCAAACATTTGCCGGGGCGGTTGCTTTGCCGCAGCTTTTGCCAGGTGGGTTGCAAGTTGTGAAGGTGCTGGCTTTGAGTGTTTTTGTTGGTTGGTGTTTGGATCCAAGTTCACGGATTGTGCATAGGGTGGGTTGTCCACATAAGGGCTGCAAACTGCGCCTGGCGCTTTTCCTGAACGCGCGTTTCCGGCCGTTCCTTCAGGAAGCCGTCGATGCGGTGAAGCATTTGAAAATGTTCGCAGAAGCCCAATGTTGCATCTTGGCAGTTGGTGTTTTTCTATTTTCTGTGCAGCCCTCATGGGGAAGAGGCTGGGAGGTTGAAAATTGAGACGAGGATGTGCTGAATGAGACATTGTGAACATCACTCACTCGCCAGAATCATCCAAAGCGTTTGCAAGCCATAAGCACCTTTGAAGACCGCATGCTAGGAAAGGGAAGTGCACCAAGCAACAAATCTGAGTGGTTGCAGGTCGTGAACAGATGCCCCACCCCACGAAACATTGGAATAAGCACGAAGGAAAGGACATTTGAGCGACACGTCAAATGTCATTGAATTTTGTGCAGGGATCGGCATAGAAGGACAATGATGGACATCCCGCAATAGGCTGCGTCAGAACTGCCAAGGGACCTATGCCCAGAAACCCAGTCAGCTCTGAGGGCAGAGGCCGAACGTCATCACCTTCGAAGATCGTCGCATGTCACTTCTGCGGCACTATGCGCAGTCCGTATGGACCATACGGCGTAGTCCGCCATTCATGTCATGTGTGTGTGATTTTCTAGCTTTGTTCTCCTAGGTCCTAGATGTTTGTAAGTTGGGAAGGCCTGTGGAAGCTACCTACAAGTCCGCTTGGACGGCACCCTGCTTTGTTGAGCCATGGCATGCCATGGCGATTCGATTAAAGTCAAAGTTATATGTTTTTTTCATTGGAGAGAGGCTGTGTTCAAGATTTAAACTAAAAGTCAAAAAGTCAACATAGAAGTAGCCGGTGCCAAAAGTCAAAGCCACAAAAACATCAAATCATAAATGTTCAGGTTTAAACAAAGTCAATTGGTCCAAATCCGACATGTTTTTACTTTTTGTTTGACATTGCGTGTTCTTGTTCCGACTTGCTGTTGACTTGTTCGATGTGATTACTAATTTTGATTTGTTTGACTTTTTCAAGTTGTTTTTTTTCTAAATTGACTTATTGGAACGTCTTGTTTCGACTTGTTTTTGTTTATATATTTGTTTTTTTTGACCTTTTTTGACTTGTACCTTTGTTTTGACTGTTTTCGTTTAAAAAAACAGTTTTGTGTCTGGTTTCTTTGATTGTTTTGAATTTGTTGGACTTTTTCGAGTTGTTTTCAAGATTTGACTTTGTTTGACTTTTTTCCGACTTTGTTTTGACTGTTCCAATTGACTTTTTTGTTGGACTTTGAATTGGACTTTTCTGTGACTTTTATTTGACTTTTGTTTTAAAACGGGCTGTCCTAGCCTTACCATATGACAGATTCTTATAAGATTAAAGGGCTCCTATGATGCAATTCAATAGAGGGCCCCCCATAGTGTCCCCCCGTGCTTTTGGGGTCCTTGCGACTTCCTGGATTCCTCAACAATCACCGACTGGATGTCAACCCTTTCATCGTGCGACGCGGTGATGGTGTGGAATAAAGCATTGGCATTTGCAAAGAGAAGACGAGCTGGTTCCAGCATTGACAGATCGAATGAAACCAGATCTGATATTTGACCATCCTGTCCTCTTCGGGCTGGCCGTTCGGGAGCGGTTCACTAGAAAAGATGAAAACCACTTTTCTCCGATGTCTTCACTGGATAAGCCCCTAGTAAGGCCAGGAGCCCCTAGTAGCTTCTTGCTACTAGTAGCGATGCCCTTGTTGTTTGAGGTCTCAAGGAATTTGTATTTGGTATTTATGTCTTTGTGCCGGGCGCTCAGAATGTGAACGGAAGCTTGGGCTTTGGAAAGAGAGTTGGCCAGAATCAAATCTTTGCAGTACGTCCTTTGACTTGTGATACCCGTGCTTTCTTGGTTTGACTTACTGGTCCATTTTCAACCTCTTTGTTGCTTGAATGTGTGTCTCATCTCCTCCTTCACAGCGCTTCCTGGACCGTGCCGCACCGTCAGGTGTGGAACGTTTCTTGGAATGTCTTGAACATGGGGTTGCGCCTCGGCTCTTCAAAACTCATGTCGATCCCAAAGTTATTAACTACCAGCTGCGATAGCTTTGGCTGGAGTCACTTGTTTGCTTTCGCAGATTTTCTCAGGGCAGGTGGCACAAAGCCCCGAGCTCAACTCTACCCTAGGTCTGTTGGGCCATTGGGCCAAGGGGCCCGATGGGTTTCCACGTCGGTCGACCGTGTCTCCGGCTCGGTTCGGGTCTTGGTCTGGATGCTTCGAGCCTTGGGCGCTTTGCCCACTGTCCGCTAGCTTGGTTCACTGTTCCCCCTGCCCAGTGTCTGGCCACAAGTTCACCCTGGAGTTGCAACGTTTGTTCCATCTTACTGCCACCCCGCCATCCCCGGCACACTTCATGCAGCGCTGTCAGCTGTGTCCAAAGCCAGCTGAGGTTCCTTTCAACTGCATTCCAACGGAGCGCTTACACAATGCAAGACCGCCCCTTCTAAGGAAACTATGTCGGGCTGCCGGGATTTGGGCCATGTGGAAAGCACCACGGTGCCTGATGTGTAATGATGCCAACCTAGAACATTGTACTAAATCACAAATCGCCACGCAGAGAATGGACCTAAAAACAGGGCTGAGCCAAGATGGTATTGGGTTTTGCATGCATTGTTTCGTATAGTTTCCGTGAGCAGTCCCAATGACCTTCCTGAACATTAAATTGTTGTTATTATATTATATTATATTATTATGTATATAAATGTTATCTTAGGGTCCATCACGATTGTGAGCCTCCGGGGGCCAGGGGGCCAATGCCTCCTTCCTTGACGGTGATTCTCATGCCTCGTGCCCCAAGCCGTGGAAGTTGCAATAAGCATGGAAGAGAGTTTCATGTCCTTTCATTGACCACATCCTCTTCAGGAGCACACCGAGTTCTAAGAAACTACCCCCCCTAAGAGTTGGCCAGGCTTGGACACAGAGTGGGAGAGAGTTTTGTCAGAGTTCGGATCTCAGGAATGTGGAGATTTTTGACTCTTTTCTTTCAAGTCAATGTTTTTGCCCCTTGGCTGCAGAGAAGGGGAAGTTCGATAAAGTGAGTGGACTGGGTGTTGCACTGGGTTGCAGTCGAGTATGGTCCATGACTACTTGGAGGTAGCAGTCATTGGTCCGATACATGGATAGAAGTCGACCAGGTTGGAAGATGCTAAGTGTGTCAGAGCAAGTGCTGAGGTCAGGTTTGTATTGAATCGAATCTATCATTTGGTTTGGCTCCCAGCTCTTTCTTGCTCAAGAAATCCAGAACAAGGCGTATACGGCTGGTACAGCCACCCATGAGCTTGGGCACAAAAACCTTGGTTGACCACTAATCTCCCCAAAGCAACCAGGCACACCCTGCAAACGGATCCAGGGACGAACTTTTGGTCGATGTTGTTTCGTCCTGGATATGACTTTCAAGATCTCAAAGAAGCTACTTTACAGTGTAGGTATTTGATCACTATGATGCATGCTTGAAGGGAAGCGACCCCTTTTCGATTGACATCCTAGGTGGATGTTGTGCAGATTCTCTTCGATACTGTGGCTCTTCACCGTCTCAACACTGGATGCTTTTTCCTTATAGGAGATTTGACAGGCCTGTGCTTTGGAAGGCACTGGTCACATGTGAAAGGCAAGAGGAGAGAGAGAGAGAGAGAGAGGGAGAGAGAGAAAGAGAGAAAGAGAGAGAGAGAGAGGGACCCATGGCTGCTTTGCAAGTGTACCTCATGGAGATGGGCTGGGATGCGTCAGTGCTTGATGACTGGATACGCCCGGCTAAGGGCTTGTTGCCTGCAAATCAGATGAGCCTTGATTTTCCTTGGCTGTACTTGCAGCGCAAACTTCAGCAGGAGCAACAGCAACAGCGGGCAAGACGGATTCAAGAGTTGGAACACTGCTTTCCCCTCATGAAGCGGCCGGATTGGACAGTGTACCACCGTGTCATCAAGAAGCTCAAAGGTTCGGAAAGGGCAGCCCTGGATGCCTGGACGCAAGGCTCCCTGCGCACTCATGATGCTGGTGTCAGAGTGATGTGCCCAATTTGTCAGGTGCCTGTCAGTATGAAACATTTGGTGTGGCAATGCAAGTATCATGAGCACGACCTCCCGGCAGCATGGCAAGCCAGCATCAATGCCAATGAGGAGCAAATGCTATGGGCACGGGGCCTCATCGAAGAGCCCCACTTTGTGGCAGCTGAAGGAGTGGATTCGTGTGAAGTTGCTGGCATTTTGGCAACGGGGTGGCCGGTCCGGCTCACTCCCTCCCACAGAGTGGCCATTGCAGTTCAAGCCACTTGCCAGGATAAACGCATCAAACAGTTTGTGGTGGCGATCACTGTTGGCACCTGGCAAGAGGGGTCCTGGCAGATAGCTGGCACATGCACAGCGATTACCCCTGGTCAGGCCACGGAGGCAAGGGGTTGGGTGTTTGCCTGCTGGCTTCTGCTCCAAGCTGTTCTTGGTCGGCATCAGCTGAACATTCCCAATCGTGCTGGTTGGACGGCCCTTCAGAAAGGAGAAGGAAGCAAAGTTGGCCCTGATCTGTGGTACAACCTGCCCGCTGAGGAGTGGAAGAGGTTGCAACTCCTGCATGTGCCGCAGAAGATGTTGAAGGAGGAGGGCAAAGCTTCGAGGGGATGGGTTCAGCTCAGTGAGGCAAAGCATGTGGCTATGCAAAGGGCATTGAAGGTGGCACCTACTGTGCTAGAAGCTGAGTTGAAAGAAGCTGACCAGAAGCATCAAGCAATATATGAGGTAGCGGCCCGACGAATCAGCACCATCCTGGCGGACAAGGACCACTACATGCATGGTGAGTTGGAGAAGGTGGAGCATGAAGTCAAAGTGCCGCAGCCCAAACCAAAAATCGGCAGAGTTGCACTCTTCAGCCAACTGGTGCAACAAACCACCAGTGATGGCCAACACAAGTGGCAACATCATCGCCAGGGTGTGGTATGTGAACGTTGTGGCAAACGGATCAAGGCTTGCAGCACCTTTGAGGAAATCAACCGGAAGCAAGCCACGGTGTGTCCTGGTGCAGTGACTAAGACTCAGACAAGTCATGGGCGAGCTGATCCAGGACACGGAAGGGAGGTTAGAAGAGCAGCCCGGCCACAAATGGGAGATGACGGCCACAACATTTGGTTGTGTCAAGTGCTGGCACAAGATTCCCCTGAGATGCAGCAAGGCGGTCCTTGATCAGGTGGCGGCCACAGAATGCAGATATGGGAAGGTGGATGAGCAAGGCCTGCAACTCCGAACTCGGCTGCACCCCTCGCATGAAGTCTGGCGGAGAGGAGCATGGCTTGAATGCCGCAAATGCAAACGCCACAGCAGGGAGCAAGACGGTAGAGTTCAGCAGTGGCTGGCCAGGGCTTGCGCCATCAGCAAAGGCCAGACCAAGCTCAAGTTCGGACCGAGTTCGAGCAGCTGATGTCCCTAGAAGGGACTTGAAGAGGGTTGCAAGGCGAATGAGCCTTGGCCCTGCCGCTTTTGCCTTGTGGCGCGGCCTCGTGAGTGCTGAGGAAAAGACCCGAGAAAAAAAAAAAAGGGGGGGGGGGGGGGGGAGAGGGGGGGGGACCCGGGGGGGGGGGGGGGGGGGGGGGGGGGCGGAGGACAGCGTGAGACACGTGCGAATTGTTGCACCAGAGGTGAGGGTACTGTTGTCATAAAGTTTGAATCGGGTGTGCTTTATACACAGAGAGAGAGAGAGAGAGAGAGACAGAGAGAGCGAGAGCGAGTAATGGCCCTTTCCCCTAATTAGTTTGGTTCCAAAGTCATGCAAAGCATCAGAGTCAAGTCTTACCAGATGGAGATGTCCAGTTCCAAGCTAGGAAACATGGGACTACTTATACATGATACCCGTCCGGTAATCCATACTAAAATCAAGGACCCCAACCCACCTAAATAATACAAAATGTTTTCCGAAAAATGGGTACGTCCAGGACTTCATAACAGCCATGAGGGTTTATCTGGAATTTCCAAAAAAATGCTTGGTCCAGGACTTCAGTAAAGCTAGATAAATCATGATGTGACTGACTTGAAAGACTACATGTGAGGTCAGACGCAGGATTCTATAAAAGGATGTTGTCTTTTAACTTGGAGGTCTCTGAGGGTCAAGCTCTGGATTATATTATGTTTTGTGTTTCGCTGTCGTTCCGAAGACTCCGCGGTCGTTCCTTGTTGAGCTGCAGCATGCCACAGACACCGGAGTGTTTCAATTCAACAAAATCTATTTATAAATGACTAATACGCCACACAAACGAGTGTTTCAATTCACCAAAATCTATTTATAGATTACTTGAGACGCCACACAAACTCTGCAAGTCTATTCCCTTAATGGAAGTACACCAGGCATAACCGATTAGCGCATAAAAACTCGACAATATCCTCAGTACACACGATCGAAAGATCCTGCAAAGAAAAAAAGGTACAGCTCTTTTTGCGCATAAATTCATGAGCCAGGGTCAATGACAGCATTTCAGTATGAATCATAATTTTGTCTTATTCACATGTCCCGACCTCCGTCTCAGGACTTTAGAAAGAGGTTGGTCCTAGGAATTTATTAGGCCAAAAAAACAATCAGTCTTTTTGCATCGCACCTTGGGCCACTAAAAAATAAGGAAATTACCTCAGTCCCGAAGGATTTTATAAAATAAAGTCCTGGGTTAGACCTTTGGGCATTATTCAACGGGTATTACATGTCAGTTCGCATTTGGCAGTGAAATGTGTTTATCTACTGTATGCCTCCTCATGGATTGACCCGCATTGGCCCACAGAAAAAGCTTCAAGGTAAGGCAGGTGTGTTTTGCCAGGTGGTCAGTAGAGGTTTGCTCAAACCCGCTGTGTTTCAGCTTCTCACGGTCACCAGACCTGGTTGTTCAGGATCATCTCAGGCCAATCGTTCCTCAAAACGCTGTGGCCAACACACCACCCTACCACATGATCAACTCCAAAGGAGCTAAAGGAAAAGACCTCTAAACCGCCTGCTTTTCTTAAAGGATTGCCCGGCGCGTGTTGCATGTGCAACACCCATTGCCCAGCTCGTTGTTGGCAACTCCGCCCAGAAAAAAAAACAGACCCGACACCAGACCCTAAACCCACACTCCACACTTGACGACCCCACGCTCAGTTCGGTTCGGTGCCCCGCCCACCGCTCAGCGCCGAGGTGCCTCACCTGCTATGGCGGCGTCCCGAAGCGCTTGCACGAGCTGCTGCGGCGCTACTTCGAGGCCACCGAGCGGACGGCTGCGGCCGCGGGCATCGCAGCTCGGAGCGGTGAGGGGCGAGGGGCCGTGTGCCGGAGAGGAGACTCAGATGATTCGGACAGTGAAGTGGCAGATGTATTCTATTTCCAGGGTGGCATTGACTTGGTTGCATCCATTTGTTGGTAGAGACTGTTGTTTTTGGTTTTCGGCCTACATCCGTTGCTTTCCCTCAAGAGGGGTGAGGTTTCGAGGAATGATGAGTAGGAACGGGCAGGAGTTTGCTTGCTCTTGTTGACCTGGAAAAGCTGCCAGTGAGAGTTCAAGCATATACGGAGCTGGGGTAGTTTGTGTTCCATCCTTGTCTTCTGTTGGGGCAGCTACCGAGCAGCTTTATGTCGAACTTTTGCACATTTACTTTCATACCTTGGAAAGCTCACAATGGATGGTTTTTGCAATGGTCAGATCGAACAGTTTGGGCTCCCTCCCTCCCTCCCTCCCTCCCTCCTTTCCTCCTCTCACTAAATCAAAAAGCACAAGGTTTTTACAGATTGTTTGGTCCAATGCTAGCTGCTAGCAGCACTGATACAAATCCTGTCCACGGTTCATCCTCCCGTGGATGCCCGCGTGTTTGCTCTTTTTTGCACCCATGGCCATGCGGATTCAACACGACTTTGAGGCCAGCCTGGTGGGAAATTGTGCTGTGCAGGAAGCGTTGGACCAAGCAGCTTGGCTCAGGCAGACCTGCCAGCCCAGATGCCGGTGCCTGGAGAAGCTAAGGGCGAGGAGTTTTACCGGTTTACTAAGGCCAAGGGGTCTTGGGCATTCAACTAACTAGTGGTCCACCTGGTGCTGTAGGATGCTGTAGGTGTAAAAGTGGTGGCTCAGCCGAGGCTCGATATAAATGAAGCCGATTCTATTGAGATCACGGCCTCACTCGAAGAAGCCATCGTGTGGCACTTGCTTTGGTATACGATTGCAAGGTCTTTAATCATGCGGGGGTGAACTCTCTAAGATATGAGGTCTTTTTCCAATCAATATCATGGCAATGTCCTAGATGAAATGGGGACCCGCAATGTTTGATAATGTTTGCTGACGAACAAAAACAGAATGACAAACCGCATCAAACTGCCATGGAACCATTCATTTACTAACTAGAAAAGGTTGGCAGGTCTTACATGAGAGTACAAGGTTTTGCTGACAGTACTTGACGAGCGTGCCCTCATCATTTTACCAGCTTTCCTTGAGATTAAGATAGATTAAGATAGGTCAGGTAGACTCAAATTAGGTTTTGAGTATTATATATATATATATATGCTAGCCCTCCCCAAAACCCACCTGCCACCTGCTCTTAAATTATCTCGACTACCAGAGTAGCAAAGTACCAAAACTGCAGACCCCATGACCTGGGGAACCAAAGTACCAAAGTACCAAAACTGCAGACCCCATGACCTGGGGAACCAAAGTTTCAAAGTACCAAAACTGCACAGACCTATGCCCCCAGAGTGCCTATGATCAGGGCATGGGGTTTGCAGTTTTGGAACTTTGGTGCTTTTTAGAGGGGGGACCAAAGTTCCAAAGTTCAAAACCGTGTTTGTTTTTGGTTGTAGCCAGCCTTCTTTAACCATAAACCGTGAAAAGATCAAAAAGCACACGGGTTTTTCGTTTTTGTTGTTCAACACCAAAAAACAACGCAAAAAACATCTTTTGAGGCTGAGCCAAGCATTATCTTCAATGCTTCTGTTGGCTGTTTTGGTTTGTTGTTTTGTTGCTGGTTGTCATTGGGGATATATTTTTTATTTGCCGTAGTTTATTTGTGTTTATTCTTTAATTGTAAGTGCATTGTTTTGTTTATTAGATTTTATATATCCAAACATATGCAAAACACACTGTAAATACTAGTAAAATTGATGAAAGAGGGTTTTTTTAGGGGGGTACCATCCATATATATAGATATACATAATATAGTGAGGTGGTTGAATTTAGTACCTTTAGGGTCTCCCAGCGTGTTGGTTCCACCGTTTTATGTCTCTCGAAAGGGCTAATGGACCCCCCTACCCAACCTACCCAAATTGCCAAGGGGATCTTATCCATAGGATTCGGTGCACGGACCTCGTGTTTGCACGTTGACAAAACCTGGCAGCTTGGCAGTTGCCACCATCATGAGTTGACCAGAATACCAAGAACACGCAAGACATTCACAAGTGAAGCATTTGTCCACAGTGCTGGTCACAGGGGCCTTGATATCGGCCATCCACACAGAATCATACAGAGCTTCAGCGCCCCACCGACCAGTGTGGATCCGACCTTCACCGACCAGTGTGGCGACCGCGTGGTCACCGCTGAGGCGACCTCAAGGTTTCGAGTGATCAACGTCGACAAGATCCAACTCTCCGATTTGGGTGATGGCCTCAGATCGACTGGAAGAGGGAAGGGGTAGGAAGAGAGGAGGGGCTCAAAGGCCAGGGGATAGGGCCAGGTGATTCGGGTGAAGCATCAATCTGGGTCGATCGTTGCCACGGCAAACTGTGTAGATGTTGAAAACCGAGACCCGCCCTTGGTAGCTTCTAGCTGATGGCATACCCGCATATACCCGCTTAAAGCATTTTGAAGCAGAAGTTTAGCATAGTTTAGCCCATCCTTTGTCCTTTGGAGCGTCAACCCTTTGTAGCTAAGCTGCATCCTGTAGTTGTTTTTTTTGGGTGTAGTAGGTCCAGCACAACACAATGCATTCCTCAGAGCATCCTTGTGGGACAGATCGTGATTGCCAGACTTTAGTCAGAGACAGGGAGAGAGAGAGAGAGTGTGTGTGTGTCCCAGGGGTGGGACTCATCCTGACCTCAAAAAGATTGAATGTAATTAATCATCGAAAGCCCTTTCCCGTTACACGATGTGCGATGTGTGCTTCTGAAGTGTCAAGACTTCCCGTGGAGATGGCCACATGCGATGCATCGTGGAACGTTTGCCTGCAGCCATTAGCAGGCAGCAACCAGCCATCAGCCGAACTCTTCGAGCGATCTGTCCCTGCTAGTGCCCTGGCAATTGGATCGGTTGACTGCGCTCAAACGGCTCAAACGGTGTTTTAATACGTGCACACTTACGGGAATGAGAGAAAGATGGTGATATTTATCCTTCGTGGGGCCAGGTGTCCACAACTCTGCAGCAAGGGCTAGGGCGGGAGTCTTTTTCAGGCTTCAAAGGCTCCTGAATCATGAGTGTTTTATCTCCCCGTGCTGAGGAGCAGCAACTTTTGCAATGGAATCTTCAGCCCACCATATCCTGCAAGTTGCCACTTAGGAAAGTTTTTTTCTTGCACCAGACGTAATATTTTCCAGGAGAAGGACATTCAGATAGATTCAATTGAAGTTAGACAATTCTGGCAAATTCACCTTCATGAAGCCAGTGCGTGTCGCTGTTTTTAGTTTTTGGTAAAGATACAGAATGCTACTGCCTTTGTACAATGTGAAAATCTGGAAATGGGATGACGAACTGGGCTCACCCAGTTTCTCAAATCTCGGATCTACCTCCCTTCAACCAGTCATCCTCTAAGGCTTGGGCTCTTGCGATGCCTTCATCTCACACTCTTGGAGTGACGACCCAGGTCGGGGACACAATTGACAGGGTGTTTAGGACATTTGAGGAGTTCATGGGATGTTGGGTAGTGGAAAGGTGGAATGAACTCTCCAACCACTGGTCCTGCGGCAGCAGGACCACCCTTTTTCGCTTGGACACCACGGCAGGCGCCAAATGGGCTGCGCTCATCTCGTGGCGAGACCGCTTTGTGAGCAGCCGTGGCCGATCGCCCTATGCTGCTGGGCCGCACCACCCGAAGCCAAGGGTGGTCGAGCTTTCCCACTGGCCGACCAGCACAAGCCTTCCCACTGAGTTGGCTGAGATACCCTCCCTCAGTGACCAGGACCCCAAATAGACTTATAGATGGTTTCGGGCCTTCGGGGTAGTTTATGTTCAACGACAGGCTGGCTCGTTTGTTTCGGTTTCTTGGCTCGTTTGTTGGCTCACCGGCTCACACCAACGGCGGCCATTCTGACCGGGCCGAAGCTTGACCGGAAGAGTCGGGAAGCTCCAACTGCTCGAATCAGCTACTGAGGTTTGGTTTGATAAAGCCTGCCGCTTGGCAAGTTCTTAGGTGCGTCACGTGTCCAATTGCCAACCTACTAGAGGTTTATGATGGTTTACGCAGTTCTGTGTGGGTCTCATTAATTCATGCAGTGTGTGCTGTATAGTGACTAACAGTGTGACTAACTTAAGAACTATGGCAGAAAACTGTAATAAAGGAAAACTCGCCCAGTGCGCTTGGTCTTTGGGTCAACCTTGTGTGTTGTGAGAGTAGCAGCAATTACCTGTTACCAGACGGGAGTTTCTGACACTTCCCTCCAAATAATGAATGTGCTTTGCAAAGGTTTCAGAGCAGCACAATCCTCAGAAGGTGGTTTAGAAGGACCCCCAAAAGGCATCTTTGGGTTTGTGCCATCTACTCTGAAACCACTGCCAACTATCACATCCTTCACCCAGGCTGCCCCACCGATCCGGGTCCCCGCTGCACCTATCCTGGTTGCATCGCCTGCCAGGCATCGATCAGAGCGACATCGAAGCAAATCTGCGGATCTTGCCCGTCTTCCTGTGACATGGCCAAAAAGGCATGGCCAATAAAGCAAAAACATGTTGGCCACGCATATCTTTACTTACTTTCTGAAGATCGAGAAAAATCATCACGGTCCGTCCATGTTCGTTTGGCAACGGCGATGTTGCGCGCTCGGTGACTGACACCCAACATGTTCGCAGTATGCACTGGAGGAAACATCATTGCTCCAAGATCGGAAGAGGAATGTTTGCTCGTGATGGTTGTGTTAGATTGAGGGAAGGAAGGGTCAGGGTGGAGGTCTTTTTTTTGGCGGCTTTTGAGATGCTTGTTGCTCTATGTGTTCTCTCGATTTTCTCTTCAGAGGTCCAGCTTTGATACGACATGGTAACATTGGACAAGTGTCACACACTAAGGAGTGGGTGCAGCTCCTTGCTGGTCCTTTGCGGCTCTTCATTCCTAAGTCGAACCTGGGCATCTATATGTATATATAGTTGGTTGCAAAGTTCATGAAAGCCAGACAGGCGGAGAGTGCAACAGTTCAAGGATGTCGCATTTGGTAGTGAAAGTTGCTCTAAAGTGGGTTAAAGGTGATACGAATCGTTGCTCGAAACACATTTGGGACGGACTAAATTCTTTGCCAACCTAAATCATGCCCGGCGTGGGCGTAAACTCCTGGTTTCAAAGGCATTTGTCACACATGAAAGTTTTGTTTTGTTTGTCCTCCTGTTGCAAGCGCCCAGGACTCTGGTGCGTTCTGGAGCTTTTTACCTTCGTGCACATGGGAGGGAAGACTTACGACATTGATTGTATCTCCCTGCTCTTGCGCCTTGAGCAAAGAGAAAGCACAAATATCACCGTGTTTCACAGGTTTCTTTTGTGAAGATCGGCCTTCTGATCCCGGAGGTTTTTGATTCCTGATTCAGATTGATTTTTGACAAGGCCCGGTCAAGAAGAATCAGACTGGAATGCCATCCACGTTCTTTGCTCTTTAGCTGCATTGCGAGGAATAGGACCAGCTGTGCAGCGACTGGTGGTGCATGAATCCGACCGCGCACCGCTCAAGCTGTCCGTCCACATATAGCGTGTCCAATTTGTAGGAATTCGTTGGTAGCTTCGTCGTTTAATGCAACGAGGAGAAAAATGGCACTGGCATAATAAACATGCACAAAACGACAGGATGTTTGTTTGCCACGCTAGGCTTCGCAGGGCACGCCTGCTAGGCTACGCATGCTACGCTGCATGTTTCGCAGGTTTGCAACGCTTCGGGAGGTCATCTCCTGAGCTCCTGAGGTTCGCAGTTTGATGTGCGAAATTGTGACTGCTCTGTGCAAGCTGACAAGGACAGGGCTCGATGTTGTGTACAGGTCATGCGGGTCGATATCCCCAAGAACTAAAGGTAACTATCAAGCCAAGAGTTAGCGCAAGAGTTAGATGTGGTGTTGGAGCATTCGCACTTGCAGGCGAAAAGGGTTGGGACTCATTAGGGGAGCGAGCTATAGTGAAGCACTTGGGTGGAGCTTCCACTGCCCAGACCTTTTGTGTCACGGGGGATTTCATCCTTCATTCTGCATGGTCCGGGGGGGTGGAAGTTGATTTGCCTTTTGGTGGCTTTGGTACCTGCTGCAAGGATGCCAAGCACGACAAGACATGTTTTGGGGGGCTTTCACTCGTCCAAGTGATTTCCCTTCGGCGCGCCGGATGTTCGAGCTCGAAATCCGCACATGTTCGAGTCATATTATCACACATGACATGTGGGTGTTGTCCCATTAAACTGCCTCAAGAACCTATCCTTAGACAAAATCTCTCTGAGTCAGCTCTCAGCATTTGCTGTGGCTTCTGCACGCGCGCACGCTTGAACTACGCGGTCAAGGCCCTCATTCTGTAGCAGGGCCTCAAGTGATTGCTTCGAGGGTTTCTTAAGAGACTTACAGTACAATTTGTGGTCAAGCATTATCATTATAGTTTACTTTGACGAAGATTGTATGTTAGTAGGTAAGTTTAGACAGTTTCTGGTTCAAGGCCGGGGTTGACCCGCGGGTGTGTCATAAACCCGCAATCGGAGGAGAAGATCCTGTCAATCATCCAGACTGGCTTCGGACATCTTGGCCTTGCTTGTAGGCTGTTTTGCTTCCAGAGTTCAACTTGTGTTTACAGTACCAGTTGAAGACCAATGAATATCTAGTTGCAAACTGTTTTAAGTGGTTCGGTGCTGTCATGCGTGATGTTTTTCCCCCTACGTCAGCCCTCCATCGATTCCAATTGAATCGTTCGTGCAGACCGCAAGGTTTCATGACCCGGTCTGCACGTCATAAATCGGAGAGTCACCAAATGCCCATATGGCTGCCATACCTCCTGGGTGATGCTCCACCTCCACCCTGAGCATTTCGCAATCACTGTGGCCCGGTGGGCCAAGGAGACATGGACCACTTCAACCACGCGGTACGCCGCGTGATGCGGCGGATTGATGGGCTCTCAAGCCACCAGCCGCCTGGCACTGAGCCAGGTGGGTGGGGCCAGGTGGGCCCTGAGAATGTCACCCTGAACGACTGTTCTCCTCTACAAACCAGTGGTCTTCAGGGTCCATGTTAGTCTTCAGTGGTGAATGTTTGTCGCATGGGTGTTTTTGGTCACAGGGACTAAAGCCCACAGGACTACAACGTGTCAAGCTGGGTGGCGGTTCATGTGGTTTCAGATATGTTTATCCTTGACCTCTGGATGATGTGCCAACATGTAAAACATGCACTGTACCGGACAAATGATTGTACAGCAATGCTGGTCCTGCTTTACAGGAATGGTGTTGTCAGTGCTGCACTCCTGTCCTTGATTGTGTGTGCTGGCCACCAGCAAGTTACCGGCCCCACATGCATGTTTGTTTGTCAGTTGGCTATATAGTTTATTCTGCCTTGGAGAGAGACTATTAGGGGGTTGAGGTTGATACATTGCAGCAAAGTTGTGTTCGCTTGGTCGGAACCTCGCCGAGGTTCCTGTTCACCTCTTCAGATTCTTCGAGTAGTTCGTCCTCAGAATTGAGTTGCTTGTGCTGAAATAGGTGTGTTCTTCGTGTGGCGGTGCCGCGTGCGTTTCTGCCAGAGGCGGACCTGGACCCCTGCGTGTGTTTCCCTGCGTTTCGCGTGTGGAAAGAATCATTTGTTTTGCGGGAGGTCCTGGACCATCGAAAAGTTTATGCCGTTATGCCGGTGAATCGAAAGGTAACATAGATTTAAAAGAGCGCTGGTGCTGTTTCCCACCTTGGGCATGCTGTTACCCAATCAACGGGTCAAACCCTGAGATCTTGAGCCTTGAGATAAGCTGAACAGCACCAACTCCCGCTGCGCAGCCGCAGAACCCAAGCGTTGCGTCGGAACTTCTGGATGAACTCACCAAGGCGACAGCGACAGTGAGACCGAGCTAAGTCCATACATGGAAGACTGATTTCGCGACTACAAGCTGCCTACAGGAGAAAAGAAGTGTTGAGATTGTGATGGACAGTTGTGTTAGAATCTCATAGGATCGCCCTTGGTCTAAGTTCCCATCTCCACAGGATTGTGGACCGTGTGCAAGGAAAGCGGATGCACGTTGATAATGGCAGCCTCGAGCGGCTCAAGAACTTGTTTTCACTGCAAGATGGTTGGCGGCCTAAGTCAGGGGACTTCCACGTATTTGTAGAAAGACATTTGCGATGAATCTGCAGGCGCTTTCGGTGCTCTCGGCTGAGACGGGACTTGAATTCGCCATGCCAAGCCAAGCAGCTGCTCGGGTGAAGGAGTTGGCTGCGAAGGCAAAGCTTGAGGCACAGAAAGTGAGGGCACTGAGAGCCATCAACCATCTCAGTGACTCTAAGAGTAGTTGGAGTCGGAAAACTTTAGTTTGATTCTAGTGCATGTTGCTGGCAAAGTAGGGCCTACAGCTGCGAAGTGACCAGGATGATGACATGATTGCCATGAACAAGGCCTTGTTGGATGTCATCATGACAGGAGATCCATGTCGTAGATCACGCCAGAAAAAGCGGAACATGTCAATCAGAACATGCACCCTGAACAATTGTACATCCAAGTTTGTATGATATTTACATATATTTACACACACATATATATATATATATAGAGCCACATTGTTTGACCACCTTGCACAGTATGCATGTTCCGGCAGGAGACTTCGACACATACAAGCTGTTGTGTGATGAGAATTTGACCTGCTTCGAACCAGAAGCCAAAGGACATTTGGTGAATCTCGACGGCACGGAGGTGTGTGGTTGCGGCGGTTGGAAGCCAACGGTATGCCGTTGAGGCAGTAAGACTCAGCAAGATTTCGGTGATGTGTGGCAAAAGCGGCTGCCGGTCGCACCAGACAGAATCCGTTCCGTCGGTCGACCGCTTGCGGACACAGCACCCATGCGGACGCGCGAGCTCGCTTAGACGGTCCTGGCCAGAGGTTCGTAGTGGAATCGCGGGTGCGGATGACGTCCGTGTCGCTTCAAAGCTCATAAGGTACAAGCAAAGAATCAGAGTTTTTTTTGTTGCGGGCAACGCGTTTATTGCTTGGTGGGCCGGATGGCCCAGGCATCTCTCAAGTCTTTCTAAAAAAAACAAGCCTGCCCTGTGTTCCCTGGATTTGAGGACAGGCTTGGACTTTCACAAGTATTACTTTGATCTTATGAAGGCGGCCGTGAGTGAACAGTCGAGAGTCGCTTTACTGTTGGTCTGGTGTGATGTGATGTGAATATCCATGACATCAAACATTGTCAAATGAAAAGGGCGAAACACCAACGACCTGAAAAAAACATAAAAGCAATTAAAAACATATATAAACACAATAAAAACACCATAAGGAAACAAACAAACAAAGCCCGTGGCCATCGCCATTTGATGCGATTGAACTGCCATTCGTCAGGGTGATGGACCCAGTGCCAAGCAGGACCGGGAAGGAAGAAGTGTGGCTGGGTGTCCAAGCACCATTCGTATGTGGAGGTCCTACCGCCAGACAGACTCATAGGATAATAGGTTAGAAAAGCACATATATATATATATACCTGGGTCCCCAAATGTACTCTTTTTTTGGTCCATACGCATACGAACGAAAAAAAGTGGCCATACGGCCAAAGGACTTCATACGGCCAAAGGGTGGCTGTTGCCCTCTTCTGTAGGTTGTTTGGTATTGCACCCCTCTCGTGGTACAAGGTGTGTTGAATCAACTGCCTGAGGAAACAGCACAAGCCAACCTGAGCACTCACAAGGTCTGATCCCACACTCTGTGTGCTCGGACCAAATGTCTATCTAAAGTTCTCAGAGCAGCAGCTGCAGGGCTTGTTCGAATACCAATTCGGGCCACTTGCCCGATGAAATCCTGAGGCCATCACCACAGAGGGGAAAACCCAAACAGGCTGCGAAAAAGGTTGCTGAAGAAACACAAAATCAATACTAAAAACTTTAGGAAAAAACTTTGGAGGAAACAAGGCATGTGTCTTCGTCCAACTGGTTGGACTCTGCGAGTGGGTTTAAGCAATGCACCCCTCTGGCTGCAGTAGCTGTGAGGGTTCTCCATATGTGGTCTAGGTAGTGCATCTTTTGGTGAAGCGGGTACCGTTGCTTTCTTTGCTTAAACGCCCACACTGCCAAAGACTGATAATCCAAAAGGAACCTTCGCCCTAGCTCCCCTGCTGTTTGTGCTTGCTCTGGGGTCAACCAAAGTCCTGCCCGGTAGAGGATTGACAAAGAATTGTTGATGGTTTGGGAGGCACCAAGGATTCGTTGCAAAGATTCATCACCAAGTTCATTTATTTGTTCCTGATGTCTTTCAAGAAGATCCTGAACGAACTGGAGAAGGATACGCGTATCATCAAATTTTGACCAGCTTGCATCTGGACATACCTGGTATGAGGTTAGCCCAACTCTCTCTGCAGTAAACGGTCCAAAATGAGGACGTTGGTTTTTCTTTGCAATCCACTTGTTCAGCAGGACGTTGACACTCCGGCACTTGTCTGGAATGGAGCCTGGTGCGAGGAGCCCCTGCATAATTTCCACCACACTCGAAGCTACAAAATCCATTCCGACTCCCCCGTGTAGACAGTGCCACAAGTCAAACTTCAAAAATGCCTCTGGCATGTTTGGGATGTGATTCAACCGGAGAAATGGAGGTGGTGTTGCCCAGGGTGGAGAAGTTGGCTCTGTCACCCATTTGGCTTGATCTGAAAAGTCTTCATATGGAATGCCTGCCTTGCCTGCGTGGCAAAGCATGCACATACCTGCAGGTTCCTTGGCACCTTCTGATCGAGCAGCTCTCAGGTAATGCCGTGTGAGGGAAGCTGATTTGGTCAACAGGGGTAAATCCCCCTTCAGTCCGAGGAGTTGGATATACCAGGTTTGATGCTGAAACTGAAAGCCCCTGTGCTGCAATTTTTCAAAATCAGTGATAACTTCCTCGAAGAGCTGCAAAAAAAACCTCTGGCCGCTGACTGTAGTACCTTCTCGGTAGGGCCAAAAGCAAGAACCTTGACAAAAAACTATGACCTCCTAAATTCACCGCCATTCTGCGCTTCCTGCCCCAAACACTGACCACAGCATTCCTGTACGGACGAGCCGCCCTTCCTAATATTGACTGCATCGACAATATCATTATACCGCTTCGTTTGAAGTGCTTTCCCTCATCGCCGTGCACATACATTGGAAATGTACGACTCAATGGCATCGAACTTTCAAAAATGGAATGCTGCGGGAATTGCTTTGCATAATCTCGCCAGAATTGGAGCAGTGATGTCTCCAGCGTGTCAACTGGAAGACCACCTGCCAACATGGTAAGCAACTCGCGGGATTTCATGCATTCTACAAAGGCGGATGGCTTCAACCAAGGAATGCACATAGTCTCTGATATGTAAGACCAGCTGACGTCAACCTTCAGCGCTAGTCCATGGTCCCGAAGCCTGGAAGACACTCCGAATCATTCAAATGAATATATCCGTCAACCTCATGCATACTATACCACGCAAACACCAAAACATGAAATATTCGCAACCTTAATACACAGAAAGGAACACTGTTTGCAAGACCTCCTCTGCCCTCTTCTCACTGGTTGCAGCCAGTCGTGAAATAACTGGGCAGCTGGTGGGCCCAAAATGGGCAACTGCTGCCCGCGCCATTTGCACCACAGACGATGCTGAATCCTCAAAGGATCATCGCATCGAAGTGGATTCAAAACATGTTCTTGAACAAGGCCCCAACTCCTTCTGCAACCCGCTGCGCTGCATGTTTTGCGAGTGGCCCCACGGCACCTGGCATCGCATACGCGGACAAGCATTTGAGGAGATTGCGAGGACAACTTAGAAATCCTGAGCGGCGCGGCGCAGGACAATTTTTGAACCGCAAGATCACACCGTCTGTCAGACCCCAATAGGCATAGCTGCTGGCTGGCTAGACTATGCAAACCCAAGAGAACGAGAACAAAATGTTCAGAAACGCTCACAACCTATCAAACTCTTACTTGCCCTTCCCAGCTTTTGACTTGGGTTTGGGCTTATCCGCTTCAGCCTTGCGAGGCCTCTTCAAAGACTTCCTCTCGCCTCCACCCTTGGGAACCTCCTCAACCTCCTTGCTCTCTGCCTCAGAACCCTTACGTTCACGACCCTTCCTTGTTGAAGGCTTATTCGCCTCAGACTTCCCCTCAGACTTGCGCTTCTGTGCTCTGAGCTCTCGCAAGATAGGCCTCAGTAGGCTATCAACAATTTTCTTTAATCTGCAGGATGAGTTATAAGTCTCCAGCAGTGCTGAAGCTTCAGCTCGGGTTGAGCGGCACCCCCTCAGACAAACAAGGTTACTGAATGTAAACTTCACAATTACAGCCCACAGCTTTTACCCAACTGCACACAAGAAGCAATAGCTCAGCCATCTCAAGCCGCTCATCGACGCGTCTCTCCAACCTGAGCAAGCGGCAAGGCTTTGAACTCTGCTATTCTACAAAAAGTACCCTTTGCTTTGTGTATTTGTGCATAGGAGACACTCTTGACTCAGCTTTGATTTCTTGTTTGTCTTGGCTGCAAGAACGGCCATGGAATCATAGCAGTTGTCTAGGTCCTCCTTCAACTTGTTCAGGGTGGTCTTCAATCTCAGGGGTGACTTGTTCAGATAAGACTGTGTGCAAAAGCTGTCATTTCACTTACAAAAACTGCCAACAAAGGCCTTTCAGCATTGGGACCTGTTGATTCTGATATCTTGGTAGAAATATCCTCCATCTTGGCAGCTTTCGCGATCAACCCTTCCATCGAAGCAGTGATGAGCTGGTGCGGATCCTCATATTACAAAATATTAGACCCAATATGACCCAATGTAAAGAGAAACACGTGTCCAAAGATGTGGTCCTCCTTCTCGACCTCTGCCACCGAGTCTTTCTCGTTGGATCGTTCAGGGCTCTCTCCATGTTCCTTGTCTGACTCACCTGCTTCAGGTCCATTCACAGCTGGAGGTTTCAATCTCAGCTTTTTGATCCGCAATGGCCCTGGAGAGGAGGCAGGACGCTGATCTTCTTCCCGCTTAATGTTGGTAGTACTGTTGCTAAGCTCACCCGTCTCCTCGACTTCATACCAATGCTTCCAAATCTTGCTGTTGTATTTCCACCGCCTTGGAAACAAGTCTTTTCAAATTTAGTAGAACGAATTATACAACGAGTTCCTGACTTGCGGCACTCGGGATGCTGGGCTGTGTAAGCCACGACATCTGCTATCTCCGACCTGTCTGGAAAGTGGTGGGGAGGTGGAAAAATGGAATTGAAAGGACTTCAAATGGTTAGGGACCCCACTTGGTCATCTTCAATGTCTCTTTCATTTCCCGTTCTGTGTACCATCCGCTCTTGAGGTTGAACTTGCGCTTGTTCTTTTTTCTCCACAGCTATCGTAACCATTCTTTTGAGTTCCGCCTGTGAAGAGGTGCTCCAAACAGAATCTGCATGTTGTTTCTTTTTTGAACACGTTTCACTCCTAGACTTTGACCTGTTCGCTTCAAACCTCAAATCTCAATGACCCACCTTGTTCAAACCAGATTCCTTGTACATGTTGATTAGTGCTGGCCGCTGTTCAAGATCCTTGAACATCTTCTGGGCGTCCTCCCCGCTTGAAACAAGCCCAGACTTCTTGGTTGCAGTCCACCTCCGCAAGCGCTGTTCAATTGCGTTATCCGATAGCAGTTTTCCGTTTCGGTAGAACTGCCCGGTCTCGTCTCGTGTGATTGTCTCCCGACATTCCTCCTCATCCACGTCCTGCCACTGGTGTGCATCAATGAACTGCAACTGAAGTACTGGCACTACACGAAACAAGTAAGCTCCGCTCCTCCTCAGTTTGGGCCGGTGTAGGTGTCACAACTTGAGGTGGAGAACGCCCACTTGCACGGGATGCTGACGTGTCAAAATCTTTTGAGTTCAGTGGACCCATTCTCCTCAGAAGTTGATCTCGTTCCTCGTCCAGCCTGGCCAATCGTAGCTCGAGGTAGCGCTGTTTGTCCTGGAAATATACTTAAAATCACGCACATCAAAATGTACCCGGCAAATGTATGAACACTTGTCCTCACGAAGTTGGGATTCGGTGGCAGGAATTGTAGTAGTCGGTGAGGCCTCTGCCTGCAGGTGATTTGTATTGTATGTTTTGTCCCTCATCAAGTTCAAAAAACAATCATGCCTGAACGGCGAGTTTATCTGGAGCTCCATTGACCTCAAAGATTGTGGATCTATAATTACACACGGGCAAATGGTGGTAAGAATCAATGTGTTCGGGAAAACCATTCCTGCCTTCTGACGTCGAGCTAGTTCGGCTTTCAGCGCCTGGCAATGTCTATAACGCAATCTTTCCAAGGACACCTCATGCATGATCTGGCCTCCAGGTTGTTCTGTGAAGCATCGTGAGTGTTCTGACCTTCTTGCTTCACGGCTTGCAGCCG